CCGATCACGCTGATAGGCTTGCCAAGCAAACCGGCTTTCGGAGAGAAAGCCGCGACTTTGCTCCACTAGCTCTCCTGCTAGGTCCTAAGCATCTGCATAATCCCGGAACTGGCCCCACGCTCCTCTCTTCCATCTGTGGCTGGGACCCTGGCTCCGCCCAACCGCTAGGTACGCGGGCCCAGACGCTCCCCCACAGCCCACTCGGGACGCGTCCAGCACGGCGCGGAAGGAATCTCTGCGTGAGGGTGGAGAAGATGGAGAGAGGATTCGGAAAATTACAGTCAGTAGAGGAGGAAGGAATACCCTCTTACTCTGGCATTACATTCTCCAACCCTAGCGTGCGTTTGTGTGCCTGTCTGCGTTTACGTAGCTGTGGCTATGGCGGAGGTAGGGATGGGGACACCAGAGAAGAGGCCCCAAAGATCCTGTTTGTCTGGCCTTGCCTTGCTTAATACCAACTTGAGCACTTTTCGAGCACTAGCGTTTTCTTCGTTACACCCTGGTTTATCTATAGAGACAAAAACCAATAAGCTGTTTTGAGTCTGAGGCTATCGTGAACCTTTAAATAAATAGCTATTATTTTTATCCTTGGGGCCTCAAGGTCTGTAGGTAACCAAGGCCAATTTAGACTTCAAAGGGCCATTTCGTATTTTTCTCACAGGAACAGAGAGTTCTCTTGGTGGATACAATTTGCAAGAGACATTAAATACTATCTGGTCCAAGCGCTTCATTTTACCTTTACGGAAAGAGGCTCAGAAGGGATAGGACTTGCCTGCTTCACACAGCTCTTTGGAGAAGGTTGGATTATGGGCCACTTATCTCTTATTCTAGCTGAGAAGCCCTCCACCTTATGGTGCTGCGCCTCTTCTATTGCTTTTTCTTAATTTTCAACAGGACTGAAAGATAAAGGGGTTCGTGGGAATCCAGGTTCCCCTGACTGTATAAGTACAAATTCTCACCACCACCACCTTTCAGGATCCCTGCTCGGTTCCCTTCCCTTTTTCAAAACTGTACACTGAGCATATTATTGTCTCAACACAACGTTTAATTACTTGTGAGTTTATTTTTCTAGCTCCTCCCATTTCTCCTCATAGATGGAAAGTACACTTATTAAAAACTGTGTTGCTCTGAGCGTTGCCAGAGGAGAGGGGCGTGTGAAGTGGGGAAAACAGGTGAAGGGGATTAAGAGGTACAAATTTCAGATTCGAAAATAAGTTAAGTCATGGGGATGTAGTATATAGCATCGGGAATATAGTCAATAACACTGTACTTTGTATAGTGACAGATGGTAGCTAGACTTATGGTGATCATTACTATGTTGTACACCTGAAATTAATACAATATTGTGAGTCAATTATACTTCAATTTTAAAAATTAAAAAAAAAAACTTTTTCACACACCCATGTATATACCACCAAGACTTAGAAATACAATATTACATATACAGTTGAAGACTCCTGTCATCCCCTCTCAATTCTATTCCACTCCTATCCTCTGAAGAGGTAACTATTCTTAATTTATTTATAATTCCCATACATACTTCTATCCTTTTATAATATAAATGTATAAAAAAATTGTCTTGCCATGATTACAGTTTGTATAGATGGCATCATACATGCTTCTATAATTTGTTTTTTCCCTCAACAGTTGAGATATATTGAGTGATATAGAAAACTCTAGTTAATTCATTTTAAGTGCTGTGTAACATTCCATTAAATGACTATACCAGAAAACAAACAAACAAAACTGTGTTGCTAATCCCTGGCTCACTGCAGAGCTTGCAGATCCAGAATTACACTGCATTCTTTACTTTGTAGCCTGCAATCTATTCAGGGTCATTGAGAACTTCTCTTTC